CCACCCCACCCCACCCCAGGGGCCACAAGCGCGGGCGACGGTCGAGCAGTGCCCCTGAGCCCCGGCGGGAGGGCTCCGGAGCCCGTCCTGTCACCCGTGCGTTTTAAAAAACCATACAGCATGGGGCCCGGGCTTGTCCTGTGGAGAGGTACCCCCTAGCCGGGTTCCCCGGATGGCCCAGCCCCTTCTCAAGTCCCCAGGTCCTCCTGGGTCGTCCCTTCCCCGTGTGACACCTCCAGTGCTGAGACCCCTGGCGCCCTCAGCCCCTCACCCCATGGCCAGACCCACCTGGCCTCTCCCTTCCCAAGTATCCGGGTTCACCAAGTCACTCCGTCCCTGTCCCCTCCACTCCAGGACAGTGCAGATCTTAGTTTAAGTCAACTCCTGGCCACCGTTGCCCACCTCTACCTCCCTCCTTCCTACCTGCCCTTGGGCCTTTGCACATGTTCTGCGTGCTGCCTCTCTCCAGCCCCTGTGGGCAGGGACTGCACCCTGCCCTGTGTGCAGTATTTGAGGTGGGAAGCTCCCAGTGGAGTATAGGAGGGATGTTCCCTTCTGAACACACGAGTCCTGGGACTACCTCTTGCATCCAGGGCCACACGCACCCTGAACTCCCTCCACCCAGCCTTAGCTAACTGCTTGAAGACCTGAGTCAGCACCACAGGACAGGCCAGCCAGTGAGAGGGCAGGACATCCCTGCCCTGCTGTCCCCACCAGGCCGCAGGAAGGGCTGGCCCCTGAGAGAAGCAAGCACTGACTAGTGCCAAGGACAGACTGTGACCACTCCCAGCCAGTCCCTGGAGGAGTTGCAGAACCTTTCTGATGGCTGGGGGCAATGCAGTCCTCTGTGTGGATGCATCCTTGTCTTTTATTCTGAGTCCTCAGAGATTTCAGGTAATTGTGTAATTTACCAAACTGTGGCATGAAATTGAATGATGCATAGAAATGCTGGTTTCACTGAGGTGTGCTCAGTGGCTCTGAGGAAGTCTGGGTGCGGAGAGGAGGGCTTCGCTGTGTGTTTGGGGCTGAGAAGCAGAGGTTCCCACAGCCCTGGCAAGCCAGGGCCCACTTCCTGTCCATACCACGTGTCTGCAAGCACCCTGGGGATGCTCAGAACGTGTCCACGGAGTTTGGAGATGGAGGAAGGTAACCTGCAGAGACCCGAGACTCCAGAAAAGTGAGCAGGGGACTCCAAAGCCAGGCTTGATGCAGGGGATAAGAGGCTGCTGTTGGAGGCCAGTGACCCGGCTTGAGCGGGGGGATGGCATGGTCCTTGGGGTGCAGAAGATGCAGCCCCCACCTGGCCATCCTGTCTTCTGTGTGTAGTGTGGTCCAGGAGCAGCCACCACAGGCAGCAGGGGCATGGGGTCCTGGGGGCCCTGTCCTCTGCAGGAGCAGCCTGCTTCGAGAAATTGCCAGTCCTGGTTTGGTCTCCTGACTCAGGATGTGCTGATGGCTACCCCTGCCATGGGACAGACCTCACCTGAGGCTCCAGGCCCAACAGGCAGGATCGTACAAGCAATCACCCTGGCCTTGAAATGGTTTCTCTTAGATCATCCCACTTCAGGAAGTGGTTGGAGCCACACTCAACAGAGAAACAGCCTGGGTAGAGCTGCAGGAGTCAGGGGCCCGGGCTCAGTGCCACCCCCACTGCCTCCAACTGGACCTTGTCAGGGCTTTGTCTCTGCTCCTCCCGCACTGCCATCTCTCCCTTGTTCCTGTGCTGCTTCCTAAGCTGGGGTACCAGCCACCCAGCCCTAGCTGCTCCCTAGTGTGGGGCCTGGAGCAGAAAGGCCACACCCCTGAGGAAGGGCCCCCCACTGTGCACACGGGCTGGAGAGGAGGTGCTGCCGTCCCCCTGCTGAGTGGGCTGTGCACTGTGCCCTGCCTGGGCCTGCTGGGGGTCACAGCGGGTGCACAGTGCCCATCGCCCTGCCAAGGGTGGGACCGTCCCAGGAGCTGCTAGGGTGTCATCTGAGGGAGAGGAGAGTCCAGAGGAGCAAGTTCAAGGGATTGCTGGTGGCTCTCTGGACTCTAAACTGAACAAACTTTTTCTGAAACTCAGTGTGCTCAAAAAGGGGGATAGGGTAAGTCCAGAGTAAGTGGGGGTTCAAGGTGGAGACTGTCTTATTCATATTTTTGACAGAAGAGACAGTGCTGAGGTTTCTCCCAGTGTGAGCCTGGTTGGGTGGCTTCATCTCCACTGGGAGGTGTTAGGTGTTCCCACTGAGGGGTTGAGCGGTGGGACCATGGGGTGGTGGCTATGATTTGGTGAGGTCAGGATAGGGACCCAGGAGTGAATGCTGGTGGCCTTGAACAAAGAGGGAGAGACCAGAGGAGATGCCCATGCAAGGGCACATGTACACACACGCATGCACATGTACACACACGCCCACGCACAACCCTTCCCTTCGATGCACTGCGGCACCAAGGCCTTCAGGAGATCAGACTAGAACCTCTACCTAGGCAGACCTGGGGCTCAGCATGGCGGTTTCTTCACACACACCAGCACCAGCCGCGGAGGAGGCACTAGGCACACGGCCGTGTTCAGCTGCACTGCAGCCAAGGGCAGTATCTCTTCTGGTTACGACTGAACAGTACCCCTTGTGTACCTGGACCACATTTCCACCTAGAGTATCTGTAGACACGGAGGAGCCATGCCCCTCACAGGACCCCCTCGAGGCCCTGGGGTCCCCTCTGTGCGGCAGAGAGAGACCTGGCCCCTGGCCACATGCAGCGACTGCAGACAGCCATGGGGGGCCGAGGACGGCAGTGCCGGACAGCGCTGGGGACACACAGGCCTGCTGGGGACTTCTTTCCACAAGGTGAGCCCAGCTTCCTCGATGACAGAGTAGGGGATGCAGGATGATGCCAAGGTCAGTGTGTCCCTGGGACCCGATGCCCCTGGTGGGTGTTATGAGGAACAGAAATGCACTGCCTCACGGTGCCGGGGCAAAGAGCCAGGTGCCAGCGTCTGGCGAGAGCCTGCAGGCTGAGTCCTCACATGGAGGAAGGGAGGGGTGCTCTTTTTTTCTAGCACTGAGGTTAGAGCTATGTCCCCAGCACTTTTATTTTTTCTGCTGAGACAGGGTTCCGCTAAGTCACTAAATTGCTAGGCTAGAGTTGAATTTACAATCCTCCTGCCTCAGCCTCTCAGAGTGCTGGGATCATAGGCGTGTGCCACCTCACCAGGTGATACTGCCTTTTATAACAAAACCACTTTCATGCCAAAGGCATTAATCCACTCCCGGAGGCTGAGGCCTTGAAGCCTGGTCCTCCTAGAATGGTTGCAAAGGCAATTAAGTTTCACCCTGGGTCATGGAGAGCACAGATGTTCAGACCATGGGGGGGGTGGCAAAGGGAGAAGTGAAGCGGCAGCTGCACACAGCAGCCTTGCATGGGAAGAGGTGGGCGCACGCAGGGCAGGCGAGGCAGCGGCCTGGGGCAGGAGCGTCCCGGCCCAGAGACGGCCCTGGGACAGGGCCCCACCCAGGAGTGAGTGGAGTGCGCCCGCCGTGGGGCCCACTTGGACCAGCCAGGGCTCAGAGCCTGCGGGACTTTAGATTGTGGGAGTCTCTTTTTTTCTTTTTTTTTGGTACCGGGGATCGAACTCAGGTCCTTGCGCTTGCAAGGTGGGTGGTGAAACCACTGAGCTACATCCCCGGCCCTCTTGGTTTCTTTCTTCGAGACAGGGTCTCTGTGTAGCCCAGGCTGGCCTGGAACTCATAGTGATCCTCCTGCCTCAGCCAAGTGCTGGGATCACAGGTGTGTGCACCATGCCGGCCGATGGTGGGATTTTCACAGGCCCCACCGCTCCTGTGGCAGATAAGTTACCATGAAACCTGAGCACAGACCAGTGGTGGCCTTAAAACCCAGGACAGAAGCCAGGACAGAAGCAGCACAAAGTGAGAAGGAAGCTCTCGTGGAGCCCTGGCCCGTT